TGTGAGGGCTGTTTTCTCAGCTGGTGACTTCTGACTCACCTTTGAGGGTCATTTCTCTTCTCCTGACATCTCATGTGTAATGCTAACTCACCTCTCCCATTCTTCTCCAAGCCAAAAATCTCAACTGTCCTTGACCACATTTTCAGACCACGACATCTAAGCTCTGGATCAATGGCAGACTTCGCTGGCCCTGAGCTTAGATCACTTCTCTCAACTAGCTTTGCTGCCAGTCAGAACTGTTTCTGCAAACCACTCTGAAATCCTTTTGACGGGACTACTGGTTTCTGCTCTTGCACAATGTAGCCAGCCTTAACAACAGTCAAAGTGATGTTTTCTGATGATGGAGTATGATCACATGACTGCTCTGACTAATGGGGCCAGGGCTCTATGCCAAGCCCGACAGCCTCCAGTCTCTATCTCATTTCTGAACAGTTTCATCAAGACAGTGTTCTCCACTTTGAGAGACTAGGAGATAGGCAGACTCCCTGGTAGGCAGAAAGACAGGGAGGGGGGCCATGGCTGGGAATAAAGGTGGTGAATCACCAAGATGGCCGGCTTCTTCCTCAAAGCCTGGCAGTGTTTGTCTCTCACCAGCAGGCTGCCTGCTGATGGACTAGGCAGTCCATACAACAGCTGCGGACCAGTCAACCATCCTGTGTCTGTCTTCAAACCAACCAAGCCTAGTTAGTGCAAGGGAGGAAAGCTCTTCAGAGGTTTTAAACCTCAGATGAAGCTGGATCTTCAGCTTTCCAAGACCCCTCTGCTGTGTGAGGGTCTTTCTCTCTGCTGTGTGCATGTCCAGCCTTCCTTCAACAGCTGATTCTGTCTGCTGTGTGTATGTCCCCCCCCCAGATGCCTTCCCTCAACAGCTGATTCTGTCTGCTGTGTGCATGTCCATCCCCCCCAGATGCCTTCCTTCAATAGTTGATTCTGTCTGCTGTGTGCATGTCCCCCCCCACGCCCTCCTTCACCAGCTGACTCTCCCTGATGTGTGCATGTCCCCCCCCCCGTCCCCTCCACCACGTCTTCCTTCAACAACTGATTCTGTCTGCTGTGTGCATGTCCCCCCCATCCACCACCACCACGCCCTCCTTCACCAGCTGACTCTCTGCTGTATGCATGTTCCCCTGTCCCCCCCCCACGTCTTCCTTCACCAACTGACTCTCTCTGCTGTGTGCATGTCCAGCCTTCCTTCAACAGCTGATTCTGTCTGCTGTGTGTATGTCCCCCCCCCAGATGCCTTCCCTCAACAGCTGATTCTGTCTGCTGTGTGCATGTCCATCCCCCCCAGATGCCTTCCTTCAATAGTTGATTCTGTCTGCTGTGTGCATGTCCCCCCCCACGCCCTCCTTCACCAGCTGACTCTCTCTGCTGTACTTGAGAGCTCTCTGCTGCCACCTGTTGTACTTCAGATTTTTCCTGCTTTTTACCTCTTTAACTGGCAAAGAAAAGAAAGCCCTATCAGGACCCCTAGACTGTATCAACTGGGGCTGGGGAAATGGCTCAGCGGTTAGAGCACTGGCCGCTCTAGCAGAGGACCCGTCAATTCCCAGCACCCACACAGCAGCTCACAACCATCTGTAACTACAGTTCTAGGGGATCCAACACCCTCTCTTGCTTCTGTGGACAACTGGCATACATGTGGTACACAGACACACGTGCAGACAAAACCCCCATAACATATAACTGCTGTGGGATATCTTTCTGTACGCTGTGAATGTGTGTTGCTCTGACTGGTTGATAAATAAAGCTGCATTGGCCTATGGCAGGCAGCTTAGAGTCAGGAGGAAAATCTAAGCAGAGATACAGAGAGAAGAAAGGAGAGGAAGGGGAGATGCCAGCCATCGCCCAAGGAACAAGATGCCAGCAGACTGGTAACGCCACGTATGGATGAATAGAAATGGGTTAGGTTATAAGAGCTAGCTAGCAAGAAAGCTTGCCATTGGCCATACAATTGGTAATTAACATTAAGCCTCTGAATGATTATTTTATAAGCGGCTGCGGGAGCAGAGAAACCTTCCAGCTACACATAACAGACAGACAGACAGACAGACAAACGACACTTGTCTTCCAGTACAGGTGTCTCAACTTGATGCAAGGGTGCCCCTGAGCACCTGTACACATTCTGGCAGCACAAACACGTGTCAGGTGGAGGGGCGCCCCACTGCGGGCAGCTTCCCACGGCCGACACGACGCCGGCATCTGTGCATCACCACTGCCACAGACGCAGCCGGAAGCCCAAGTGCCGCGCGCTGCTGTGACCTCTGCCGAGCAAGGCTTATGGAGAGGCTGGGAGTGGGTCACAGCGCTGTCACCAATCAGGCAGAGCTGAGCGACTGAACAGCAGACAGGCGACAACCCCTGGTACAACAGAATGGGTACAGCCGCAGGGGGCGTGCAGCTTGTTGGTGGTGGCGCCCAAAGAAACAGCCCCGGCAAAGCTCAGAGTGCGCCAAAGAAACAGCCCCGGCAAAGCTCAGAGTGCTCGGTCGGGGTGGGGGTGGGGCGCTCTTTCCCTGCAACCACAGTCCTAACCACAGCACCGTCTGGGAAAGCGCGGTTATTGGCCTAAAGCAGCAAAGGAAGGGGCTGGAAGAGAGCTTAGTCCGCAAGCGCGGGTGCAATCGTGAGGCCCGAGTTTGTCTCCCAGAACCGTGGAAAAAAAAAACAAAAACAAAAACAAAACACTGGGCACGGTGTCTGGCTCCTGTGACCACGGTGCTGGGGAGGCAGTGAGAGGTGGCTCTCAGAAGCCCGGGAGGGGGGGGGGACAGTCAACTAGTCCATTCAGCAAGCTCAGGTTCCAGGGAGAATACCTGTCCAAAGAAATGAGGCAGGCGACCACTTCTGAAGAAAACTGAGGCCGACCTCTTGCCATACCCACACACAGCCAGACCACATCGTCATCATCATCATCATCATCATCACCACCACCACCACCACCACCGCACACTAGCAGAGCCTCCCCGTGACAGATTATCACTACGGGACAAAGCATCACTATTTCTCAGCTATCCAGCAGCCGGACAGGACTGATGGGCTGAGCAACCAGGTCTGTCCCTCCTCTTTGGGTGACAAGATATACCACGTGGCTCCACCCCTTTCAAACAAAAGATTTTCATTTTTGTTTTTAATTACATGGGTAGGTGTGTCTCTGATGAGAATTTGTGCATGTGAGTGCGGTGCTGAGTCGGTCAGAAGGGGGCATCGGATCCCCTGGACCGGGAGTGACGGGCAGTTGTGAGCAGCCAGCCAGGGATGCTGGGAACAAAATACAGGCCCTCTGCAGGAGTGGAAAGCACTCCCAGCTTCTGGCCAACCTCTCTGTGGCTCCAGCCCTTTTAGCCCCGCTCTGAGTCAGTCTGTGCCCCAGAAAGAGCCACCCAGAGTCTACAGAGAACTCCACTTAAGCACTGGGCTTGGATGTGCCTGGAGCCTGATACCGATCAGAACTTCTCACCTGTGAGGTTTTGGTTTGTGTTTTGGTTTCTCATACACCAAGACTCACCTCTGCGTCCTCAGCTCTCTGCACTCACCTCTGCACTCACCTCTCTGTGCCACCTCTGCATCCTCAGCTCTCTGCACTCACCTCTGCACTCACCTCTGCATCCTCAGCTCTCTGTACTCATCTCTGCACTCACCTCTGCTCCTCAGCTCTGTGCCACCTCTGCACTC